GAGACAGAGAGCATGAGAGGGAGGAGGGTCAGAGGGAGAAGCAGACTCCCTGCCGAGCAGGGAGCCCGATGTGGGACTCGATCTCGGGACTCCAGGATCATGACCTGAGCCGAAGGCAGTCGCTTAACCAACTGAGCCACCCAGGCGCCCCTCATGAGTGTTTCCTTAATAAAATTTTATTCTCAATATATATTAGGCTAGCATTTTTTTATGGAACTGTCCTGCTTTTTACATTCCCAGTAATATCACCCATAAGCCAGAGGCAGTGGCAACAGAATTCAAGATAAAACAAAGATCAAGACAATCTTAAGGGAACAAGGATCACTCATTTCCAGAGTTAATGAGAAATCTGTGGGCTGGTCTGTTTCAAGCCATTTCAATACTAAAAAAAAAAAGAATCAATATAAAAACAACATAGCTATTTAGCAAGTATGTGTGGTAATAATTAGTTAATGGACTGCATTACACTTTAGTGTGTTTTTTTTAGTAGTCTTCTTACTTTGATGGTTTGACACAAAGACACCCATTTGTATTACTATACTCTTTAGCACTTGAATAGTTGCCCACTTGAGAACTTGACCTTGTTTAACTCTAGACCTCAGAGTGACCACAAGAAGCAAGAACTATTATCCTTTCCTACAGAAGGGGACTCAAACAGAGGAGTAAAGTGCTTGTTCTTACTAGCTTAAATTATATGAAAAGTAGTGAGAAACAATCAAGAACATCTGTGTTCTAGTAGGAGGCACAGTCCCAAAATATCCTATCATACAATTAGCTTCCTATCATTCAATAACTTCCCATCAAACTGGAGCCTGCAGAGAAGGAAAGAAACAAATAAACACACTAAATGCCACTTGCCATGTGCGTAACAATAAAATTTATAAAGTACACATATATTTTCCCCTTATGTGACCCATTTAAAAATCTTCAGAAGTACTAAATTTCAGAGTAGTAACTTGCTTGAGGTCACACAGCTAGTAAGTGGCAGTGATGGGACTTAACCCCCAGTCTTCTAGAGCCAAGTTTAGTTTTCATGAAAGAAGTATGCTCAACTCACATTGTTCTCTTTGTAGAGGCAGGAGAGCACAGGTAAGCCTTCTTCACTTCTGAACTTTGAACTTCCAACCACTGTTCCCAGGGTAACAGATTTAGGAACCACTATTTCAGGAGGGTAGGTACTGCATACCTAAAAGAAAATAAACTAAATTTTTAAAAACTCATTTTCTTTTTTACATTTTGTACTTGCTAGCAACAGTTTGGAACAGCAATCATTCAAGCATTAGCTGTCTGGCATTTATCATCTAGAATCATCATTCCTCAGAAATAGGAACAAAAATATTCTTAGTATAAAAGTTCTTCCAAGTATGCTATTATTTTCTAGAAAGGAAGGTTTTGAGACATATTAGAACAAAATTTACCTTTAGAATACCAAACATCATATGTAGAAATACACACACAACCCTACCTTGAAATTCCTACACTTGCCTATCAAACAATGTATATTGTAAACAAGTAAAATTTTAAAAATAGACTGAAAAAATAAATAAAAATAACAAAAATGGATAGATAGATTCAAATATAAGGCAGACAGGTGGAGAAGGAAGAAACATGATTTACTCTTTCTTAAAATGTATTCTGATTTCTAGTATGCTTGCCTTGAGGGTCTTTAAAATACTAGTCTGGGGGTGGAAGTGCTGACATTTTAGGTACACTTACTTTATAAAAAGAATGATATATTTTCTCAAACTTCTTAGCTTTTAGGAGTTGCCAAATTATCTTTCTAAAGAGACTGTGAAAAAATATTGTAACAGCACAGACCTGACATTGCCAAATTAATTCTAATTACCCCTCTAAGTAAAGGACACACTCAAACGTTTGACAATGGATCAAACAAATAAAAATATGAATAGGCAAAAAAATGTTCCAGGTGGATCAGATCAAGAATGCTTTATGTAACTCACTGAAGTCAATGTCCTTGGAATGCAGCACATTTGAAAGAGAAAAAGTTCTCTACCCATGCTCTTAGCTGGGCTTAGACTTTCGAGAAGTGGGTCAAGCAAACAGAAATAAATGGAGCTTTCATTTCAACTCAGAAGGCGACATGTATTTAAGGTACCAACATAGATATTTCAGACCTCATTTGGGCAACTTAGACACATATTTGAACTGGAAAGAATTCACCTCATTTCTACTTATTCCTGTCAATTATGACTCTAACAGGCCACCTCACAGATGGCCCTGCTAAGTGACAGCTCATCAATCCTCATATCTAGTGGATATTCAAAACTGTGTTACTAGAAAGGCATTACAATTACTGTCTTTTTATGATAATAAAATGCTGGAAATAAAGATCCAACAATTCATAGAAACTACTTAAACACCTGTGCAGAAAAGTTATCATTAAAGGTCTGACTACTATCCTTCTAAAGGCCTGCTTGCAAGGATGGACCTTGGCTGGTGCCTGGGAACTTGGATTCTGGAAGCGTTCCCACCATTCCCTAACTGATAAGACTGACTCACTGTGCCTAAACTGTTTGTACAAATTATGTTTTATGCTATGCTGAGCACTTGCTTTCCTTCTGGGCATCTGGGACTTTGGTATACACTAGGCAGACAGTGCCTATGTGACCAGCCCCCAATATCCTGGGCACTAATTCTCCAATGAGCTTCCCTAGTAAATAACATTTTTCACATATTGTCACAGTTTGTTGCTAGAGAAATTAAGCATGTCTTATGTGATTACTGGGAGAGAATTCTGAAGCCCATGCCTGGTTTTCTCTGGACTTTGCGTGTTTTCCCTTTGATGAGTTTGTTTTCTATTCTTTTGCTATAATAAATCACAGCCACAAGCATGACGATATGTTGAGTCCAGTGAGTCCTAGTAAATCACTAAACCTGAGGGATGGTCTTGGGGAACCCCAACACATTCCCAGACCTCTATTTTGGCCCAGAGCTCGCTCTTGAGACCCAGACTCAAATACGTGATATCTTTTAATCACCCTGAACTCAAATCTAAAACTGAAGACACCATGTGTCCCTCTTCTTAAGTTGCTTATCTTGGCTAACATATCCATTACCTTGGTCACCTAAACCAGAAACCTGGGATGCATCTGAGATGCAGGTTTCCTCCCTCTTTATCCCAGCCACATTAATCTGTCACCAGGTTCTTTCAATTTTACCACCTATCTCTTAAAACCATCTCCTCCTCTCCATCTATAGTTATTGCCTTAGTTCAGGTTCTCATCACTTCTCATATCATTCTCCTGCATTCTTAGCTCCAGCAAACCAATTCTCCACACCAATACCAAAGTTATCTTCCTAAAACACAAATACACTCACATTCTTTACTAGATTAAAATACTCTAGTGGCTCCTAACTGTCTTCAGGATAATGTTCAGATTTGTTAATTTGGCCACGAAGCTCTTCACGATGTGGCTTCATTTCCTGACCTTCTTCCTTCTCTCCCTGTATAAATTAGGATAGATTTTTTTCTCCAGACTATTCCCCAAAGCATCAGGCTGTTTTTGGCTTCCTAGTCTGAATTCCATATCCTTCATCTATGCTCCCATAGCACCCTATGCTTTAGACTATGAGAACTCTGACTCAGTGTCTTAGGTGCAGTAGGTATTTAATAAATGTTTGTTGAATGGCTGAATGTTAAATAAAAAGAAGAGATTATGAGTGATTTTTCTTTTTCCAAAAGCTTGTTTGCTGATATTCTTCTGTCTTGATTAAATGGATCAAAAGGAAAACAACAATGACAAAATTACCTCATAGTTTCTGTTGGCATCTGTTATGGTCCAGTATCTGTTGGGTATTCCCATACGCCCAAAGTCTGATATTGGGTCAATCAATTTCCACCCATTTTCACTCATCTCTTTTGAGGATTTGGGATTATAAGAAAAAGCATAGAAATCTTCAAGAAATGCTGGAGGAGATAAGCATGAAAACAAAGTAATAATGAGTGAAACTTAAAGAACAACAAATAATGCCTTAAAAAAAAAGGCTAGATTTCCTTCTCCTAAAGGGAATGTTTGTCCAAACAGCCCCAGAAAAGGACAACGAGTTGTATACAACACTGGCTTTATGTAAGGAATAAGAATTGGAATATTGCTTTAAAGTCTTCTTTTTAAAATGTTTTAATTTTTTTGTGATACGAATACAAAGTAGGAACATACTTTCTGGCTTCCTGTGAATTGCTGGATAATGGACTAAACCAAAACTTCAGGGTTCCACAGGGTGGGAAAGTGGTCCTTACCAAAAGTTTTTAACTGAGCTTCAGTCATCTAATTGCTATGTTGTTGTTGTTGTTTTTTTAACATGTTGCAAAGCAATAACAGCGTTCTTGTATTCCACTTGTCAGGTCAAATCCTGCTTTTGACTGATAAATGGCTATTTCTTCTCTTCTCTCTGTCAACCCCACTTCCTCCCTTCACAAGATGAAACATGCAATCAATAACGCATTTGTTATGTTAATCACCATAAGTAGGGCACCTGGGTGGCTCAGTTGGTTAAGCGACTGCCTTCAGCGCAGGTCATGATCCTGGAGTCCCAGGGTTGAGTCCCGCATCGGGCTCCCTGCTCAGCAGGGAGTCTGCTTCTCCCTCTGACCCTCCCTCCTCTCATGCTCTCTCTATCTCATTCTCTCTCTCAAATAAATAAATAAAATCTTTAAAAAAATCACCATAAGTACATCATTAGTTTTTGATGACTAACGTAATAAAAATAAATAAAGAAAGAAGAGTTAAAACCTAAATAAACAATAAATTTTGCTTGATTTGAAAAAAAAGTAACGCATTTGACCAATTTATGTGGCAACAACTTTTCCAGAGATGGATAGATTCTGCCCATGTCTTATAAGGTATTGGGTTGGCTGACAGTTAAACTCTATCAACAAAATTCCAGCAAATTCTGGGGAAAGGGTGGAGGAAAATGGGAGGGAAAACACAAGAGCATGAGAATTCCACACATTAAAATCACAGGTGGCTGACTGGTTGGCCACCTAGATATGGGGCTGGAGGGTGAGACGGTGAGATTGGAGGAAAGAAGGATAACTTCATTATTAAGGACTCTGATAAACTGCCCTAGTCTTCTGATTGGAACTGAATGTAGGGGTAGGAATAGTGGGACAAACATAAAGCTGATGAGACAATAGGAAACAAATTTTTCTCCAAATCAGTCTTCCTGAACTGACGAATAATTTACAAGTTGACACTTAAAAGGAAGGAGGGAGAGAGAAGAAAATAACATCTATTAAATTTTGTACTGTATACCAAGTACAGAGTAAAATGCACAAATTCATTTAAGCCTCAAAACAACCCCCATGGGGAACTTATACTATCACTACTTTTTCCAAAAGATTACATGTGTTGGGGCACCTGGGTGGCTCAGTCGGTTAAGCATCTGCCTTCAGCTCAGGTCATGATCCCAGGGTCCTGGGATAGAGCCCTGCATCAGGCTCCCTGCTCAGCGGGGAGCCTGCTTCTCCCTCTCCCTCTGCCTGCCACTCCCCCTGCTTGCACAGGCATGTTCTCTCTCTCCCTATGTCAAATAAACAAATAAAATATTTAAAATATTATATGTGTTTTTTAAGTTTTCATTTTAATTCCAATTAGTTCCAGGTGTACAAAATAGTAATTCAACACTTCCATAAAATATCCGGTGCTCATCATAAGTGTACTCCTTAATCTCCATCATCTGTTTAACCCATCTCCCCACCCTCTCCCCTCTGGTAACCATCAGTTTGTTCTCTATAATTAAGAATCTGTTTCTTGATTTCTTTCTCTCTCTCTCAGTCTCTCTTTTATTTTTTTCCCTTTCCTTGTTTTGTTTCTTAAATTCCACATATGAGTGAAATCATGGTATTTGTCTTTCTATGACTGACTTATTTCACTAAGCGTCATACTCTCTAGGTCCATCCATGTTGTTGCAAATGGCAAGATCTCATTCTTTTTTATGATTGAATAATATTCCATTACTACTTTTAAAGATGAGGAAGCTGAGTTCAGAGCTTATACAACTTCCCCAAATACCATGAGGCTGGGAAGTAGCACAGCCCAGATACAAACTCTGTTCTGTTTAATTCCATAACCCATGATCTTTCTATTATGCCATTCTGGGGAAAAAGTTAAAATGGTTTAGACTAAAAATACTGTCATAACTACCTGTCTGAGAAAGCTTGAGCAGCAAATTATAAGCCTCATGGCACACAATGTCAGAGTTTAAAACAAAGTGGGCCACCTGGAAGTTCTTGCAGCGAAGGATCAGGGGACAGCCCAGGCTAGTGATGGGCAACTTCTCTACATTGGAAATGTGAAGCAGTGCAATCTACAAAACAGAAAAGAACCAAAATAAATTCACAGACATGCACTAGGTCTATGACTATCAGTGAACCTGACTTTCAGCAACAGTAATGCATACCCAGAGGTAGTCATTTCTACAGCCTACAACCATCCTTTGTAAGGCACAATGGGGTTTCTCACAAACAGAAGTACATAGTGGTAAATCAATAAGAATCAAATTGCAGTGTTATAAAACTTCTCTCTCCCTTGGGATATAAGGTTAATAGGTTTGTGGGGCAATTGACGTGAATTGGCTCAAAATAGATGTCTTCTCCATACAATGGTGAAGCTTACAATCATAGAATAATTGTCACAGAGGAAAAGAGAACTTTCTTTCATTCTACCAAATCTAATTACAATGATTAATAATTGCTATTTTGCCTTATTGCTCACAAGGTAGTCCATGACCATTAGCTATTTAATCCCTGTAATAAACCCTTGAGGTAGATCACCCCATTTTGAGAATGAAGAAACTAGAGTTCTGAGAATGAATTCCTTATCAGAGGGCACACAGTCAAGAAGTGGCACAAATAGAATTTAAATCATGGCAGTCCAACTCCCCGTCCAGGATTACTTCTCTAGAAATTCTAAAAAGTCTAGTGCTGGAGTTAGGTGTAATTCTAATACTAGGAGGAATATTTCTCTTCCAAATTTTAGACTCTAGTAACAGGAAAACAAAGAATGAAGTGGGCAAAAAAATTTCCTAAGTAATTTAGTAAATGAGTAGAGAATATAAGACTAAGAACTAAAGGAACTATAGTTCTTTTTTCAGTTCATAAGCACTGTACCATAGTTAATAAAGTTTCCCATGGGAATACAGGTTAAAGAATCTGATTTTTTAAAAATGGAAGATTGACTAATTTTTCAGTCTAATCACTCCTCACCATGCTGATGCCAGTAGAAAAGAAATAAATGCATGTAAAGGGAAATGGTAAAAGAAACTGTATCTAAATAATATAACTTTTTCTTTATACATTCCAAAAGCCATGGAATAATGGTTTTATGATTTAGTCTTTGATATTCTTCCTGTATCTTTGATGTTTCCTGCAACTAGAGCCTAGATGTACTCTTTCCATTCTCCTGACTCCCTATCCTATGCATAGAATGGCCTTCTGATCATCATTGCCTTTTCTTTTCCTCCACCCCACACACTCCATGCCCCAGCCCCAATTTATTTGAAAAAGACATCTCTTACAGGAAATCTTTCAATCATATGCACCATCTAAGAAAGGGACAGGTGTGGGGACCATTCATATATCCCTGACAGAGATTTTCCATCTTAATTTGTCTTAATTGTTTTGTCAAACTCAATTCCTGCCATGGCAGTTTTGGAGGGGCCACAAAAACTACCTATAATGTAGTAAGAATTAATATATCAAATTTCAAGAAAATCAGAGCCCTGTTGATCAACAAGCATCTGTGTTTGGGTGGTAAAACACTGATCATGATCAGGCACAAGGCAAAAAGCTGCTGAGTTGGGAAGAGGGGGAAAGTGAAGCAGACAAAGACTGGGAAGAACTACATTAATAGTACTAATTGAGTAATTCTGCCTCCTTTGACATATAGAAATAATTAGCATAAGTTCTCCCTTCCAGATCTAGTCCACCAGGTTTGAAATAATACCCAGTAGGAACAAATCTGGAAACATGTGTACGATCTATGAATGCAGGTAGAAAGGAAAAAGGCTGACAGCACAGTACTAAAGAACTGGTTTCCAAACTTAGAAATGGGAGATTCCTAAATAATTATATAAGCTAACAATCTTATTTTACAAACTAGGAAATTGAAGCTCAGAGAACAAGAGTCACTTGCCTAAGGTCATATAGCCAGTTAGTGGACAGCTAACTCTAGCTAGAACTAGCTCTCCTAATTCCTCTTTTGGCATTCCTTTTATCACACCAAAGGGAGCAAGATACAATCGCATGGGAAAGTTCATGATATTTTTAAAAGGAAGTGTTAAAATATTTCTTTCATATGTATATTCATATATTATACTTATATAATACAGTAGTCCCCCCCCCACCTTAATTGCAGTTTTGTTTTCTGTAGCTTCAGTTACTCCTGGTCAACTGTGGCCCAGAAGAAGGTGAACCTCCTTCTGACATATCAGAAGGTCAGTAGTAGCCTAACATTATGTTACAATGTCTACATCATTCATCTCATTTCATCTTATCACACAGGCATAGTGTTATAGCACATCATCACAAGAAGGGTGCATACAGTATAAGAAGCTATTTTGAGAGATCACATTAACATAACTTTTATTACAGTATATTGTTATAATTGTTCTATTTTATTATTGTTGTTGTTAATCTCTTACTATGCCTAATTTATGAATTAAACTTTACCAGAGGTATGTATATATAGGAAAAATCATAGTATACGTAGGGTTTGGTACTTTCTGCAATTTCAGGCATCCACTGGGGGGCTTGGGACATGTCCCCTGTGAATAAGGAGGGGACTACTGTAGTACGTATCATGTGCAAGGCACTGTACTAAGCATTTATGCCATTAAGTTTTTTTATTCTCATAACAAGGTATTATTATTATCCCTATTTTACACATGAGAGAAGTGAGACACAGAAAA